AACTCGGGCCCAGAAGCTTCCGAGAAACACGGGCCCCAAGAGATCGCCTGCCCTTGGCTTTGAGCATCTCCGGCGCCCAATACCTCGGAATGCTTTTTTGGGGGCGAATTGGGGCTCATGATGGTTTAGGATGGTTGCGGTTCTGACAGGTTTCGCATAGCTCTACGAAGACCGGGAGTTTACATGGCAGCACCACCTACAAGTACGTGACTGTCCAAAGGAGCTCAGGGCTGCATGGGCGTCACGGGTGACATGTCATGAGAAGCCGAATACAGTTTGCTTTAAGCGATGCGTCATCCTCGCAGAGCGCAAAGACATGCAAATGTTGGCTTGAGGTCGACACCATTAAGACTCAATCAGACAGTCCTAGCAGATCAGCGTGAGCGTATGGCTCTCAGATCCCTTGACCAAACTCAATCGAATAGAATCGCTTTCCCAACGCCATGTCCCCTTCCAAGTTCGGTGCTGAGGCGTCCCAACCATGCTGCGAAGAGGCTCTCCCTGCACCATGCGCCCAGAAGCAATCAACTACGACGTGCATAGTCTGATGCTGATCACGCTTGAACAGCCAGGCAATTTCAGCCAGGAGCCTGTGCCACACCTACATTCTCGTAGAAGTGAGCCTATGGCCTAACTTCTGAATCTTAAGGCCACACTGCTTGCGGGGGGCGACTGCAGATTGGGCTTGAAGGGTAGCTTTGGCTTCTGCTGTCCTTCGGAAGATGTTCTGAGCCTGAACGCTCTGAGAGGACCCAGCTCTGCTTTGGGCCTCATCGTTGTACTTGCTGAGCCCATAGTCCGCAATCTTCACGTCATACAAGGTACAGTCCTCCACACTTTGCTCTCGTCTTCTTTGCTGTCGACAACTGATCTGTGTGCTTCCTGCGCCGAGCTAAAGCACAGTAGATCGATCTACGTAACCTGTTGCCTCGTTTTCTGCACCAGCAGCAGCCGACTCGTTACCCGAGTCACTGACAGTGCACAGTCCCAAGGAGCGCAGAGTACACACCACAGGTTCAGGGCTGGGGGTGTAGGGGAAACCTGATCAGACCGACGCTTCTAGATTGGTACAAGCTTCTGACATGTCTTGCCACCTATGTCCTTGCGTATTAGCAAGCAGAACTTCGTCCCGCCTGACCTTGCAACCCGGAACTAGGATCACAATCCTTGTTCCATTCGGTGGCCCTGGAATGCGACACACCAAAACCACTCACCTCGTTGGGAGGGTCGGCTTGGTGCATCTGAGCGATTAGGACGTTCTCCTGAGTCCGGGGCTTTCAACACCAACCAAGCGCCAGTAAAAACCAGATTATATCCATATCCAGAGATGCGTCTTCAAAGAGATTGCAAAGGCATGACCCGCTCTGATTCCGAGCGACTATGGCCGCAATAAGGATGTCATCTATGAAGCAGTGTATGTTTAATGTCATTGTATACAAATATCGATCCCTTCGAAGGCTTCCCGCATCGTTCCGGAACGCTGCGGTCAGGAGGCTGGCTTCAAGTCACGGTGGGCGATCTTTTTCCCATGCCTCCGAGGCTGTTTTTCGGCATTTAGGGCATCCTCTCGATTCCGGGATAATGCATTAAGGAGCCAAGGGCCTTTCGCTGATAGGATGACGGACGACCTTCCCAGAGTATGCTAAGGCAGCCAAGGCACAGGAAGGCCAAACCAGACACGATCTGTCGGAAAACCTCGATTGGGGCTCATAGGAGTTTCAAGGCTTAAATGGTTGGGGGAAAGAAAGGCCACGACATTGGGCTCTTGCGCTCAGGGTCCTGCAACAATGAGAAGCCTTTCTCTTGCGATAATGAACGATGACTAGGGCAAGAAGCAAGTTCTCAGCCAAACCAAAGTCGGCAGCTGGACATGGTCCCCAAGCACCAACTGACTGACTCCAGCGTCGTGTAGGCCAAATCTAGAATCGTCACCCTGCCAGGTCTCATCTCAATCCGTACAAGGAGCATGCTTGGCTTCAAATTCTTTGAGCGTCCGCTTCTTCGCCTCTGCTGCCCATCGCATTGCAAAGTGAGAAAAAACAACGCGATGTCACAACGCCATAACGCGATGTCAACGGATCCTTACTGTGCCATGGCAACATCAGAAGTAGCTTGGCTGCAAGACTGGCCCAAGCGCGTAGGGAAAAAAAAAGCATGGGCAATTTGAGACTTCAAGCCTTTGGTTCGCCTGTGGTAATTGACTGAGCACTCTCGAGAAAATGGCAAAGGGGTTGCGTGTGTGATTCTGCAGGGTGGGACTAGAACCGGGAGGGTCACATGACATCACTTAACTCAAGCCGCGGCACCGCCTATTGCTTTAGCGTGACCTGTCCAAACCCGACAAACCCGGACTGAACATAAGCGACAATTGCCCGCTGAACATTCTTACCTCTGCCTCTCAAGTGATACAAAGTGCCCTTCATGTCCCTTCAAACCCCGCATTTTACAAAAAAAACTCTTCAAGAAGGCAAGGCCGCTATCTGCTCGAAGAGCTCGCCGCCCTCCAGCCTTTCCATGATGAGAACGATCCACCGGGGCGTTCTGTAAATGTCCTTAAGGCAGATCTGTGTCGAACCTCCAGATCAAAACATCCCGTGTTTCGCGTCGCACGTGTTGCATCCAAAGACACAATATCCACTAGACGACAACTCGCGTGTGCCGGAGATTTGGGGTATTCTTCTTGCGTGCTCGATTGTACAAGTAATTTTGCGAGCTGCAAATACCGAACCTCTGTATTTGCGCATAGACTCAACACTGGACACCGATTGTAGAATCAGGAATCACGCACCCCTCCGTCCAGACTTGGAATGAAAGCCCCTGAGAGTGCAGACGAGGGACATACAGGCTCACGCAGTGTTCCTGCCATTGAGCGGTGAGGAGGCGCACAGCCGGGCACTGCGGACAACGTACCAGCATCATGGCCGATTACTGCTATCATCGACTCGCGCTCTGTGTTTTTGTTTTGCCTTCTCTCTCTCTCTCTTGTCGTTGTTTCTGTTGTTCTCCTTCTACGCAGTTTTCTTCTGCTTCTTTCTCGCTCTCTCTCTCTCTCTCTATTCCTCTTCTTCCTCTTCTTGTTCTTCTTCTGCAGGGCTTGGGGAACGTCCTAGGGATCCCTCGCACGAGAGCGCCCCCGATCAAGACTCTTTCTATCCATGTCTTCTTATCTCTCCTCTTTCTCGCGCTGAACTGTCGCAGACCTTGAAGCCACCCCTAGTTGCCCGAAACTAGTGACGAGAGGGAGCAAAACAAACAAGACTCGCCGAAGACCTAAGACTCCGAGGGCCGATTGTAAAACCCTGGAGAGCTCTGACTTAGTGGAGAGCCGTTGTTCGAAGAGTCTTGTGCAGGCGCAGCGGCGTGCTCCGCATTGCGAAGGATGCGCACCTCTGACACTCGTTGAAATGGTTAACTGGTCAAAATGGCCTGAGAACGCATGGCTTTCTGGCTTTACCTCGGCTTCCCTGGCTTGTCTTCCACACATGTTGCCTTTTAAGGATTACTCAAGACCGCGTAAGGATGCTGCGAGTGTAGCTGGGAGTGTAGAGTGCAAAGACCGTTGCTACCAGCGGACACTGCTGGCCAACTCTCGCTTCACCTGCACAAAGTCCTCAGAGGACACGTCTCAGTCCAATATTCCGCGCGAGATGCCTTTCAATACGTCTCTGCAAACATCCATCCTCACTCCCCGACAAAAAAGTAGGTGGACGCAACAACGCGAGTGATATGCCTGTCACGCCGGAATTCCCAAACCCTCTCTGGCCTCGTTTTCCATCTTCTTTACCACGACCTCCGGCTCATCGGCGGAGAGCTGCAGCCGCTGGCAGTCTACCACCTGCTCACATGTCTGTGCTCCGGGCTGTGTTCCGTGTGAAGCTTCTCTCTCTCTCTCTCTCTCTCTCTCTCTCTATTGCTCTTTGTTTGGCTAAAGCCGAACCGCCGCTGTGGTGGCCTTGGCAGCCAGACGAGCCTCGCTCTTTTCGCGTCGGCATGCAAAGACCTCAGTCAAAATCTTGACTGCAGATTCCAGACGGACTCAGATACAGGTCCGCTTGAGGGTCTCCAGCCTGGCCCTGTGCACCGGATCCGATGACGTCGCCAAGTTCCACGTAGTCGCCTCTCCCGAACCGGTAGTTTATGTGTGGAACGCTGTGAAGGTTTGAAGAAAGTGCAGTAGAAGTAGTATGCCAGATTAGAGAATTTTGGGGTCGACACTTAAATCGCATGTGATGCCAACGCGAGCGGTGGATAAGTGTGAACCGCAGTGTTCGACCTGCGAATCTTGCCCAGAAGCTCTATGCGTTCTGCTTGGAACAAGGCACGCTCCGACTTGAGTTCTTAAACTTACGCATGGCACTCCCGCGTGGCCTGAGAAGGCTAAAGGTCCGATGCGGCTCCCGGATTTTATCTCCTGCAGTGGAAGGTTGTGTCGGTTGCGCATACATTTCTTGAAAGCGCGTAGGATTGCAACGTGTCAGGATGCTTCAGAGCTCAGGGAATCCTGGCTCTTCGAATTGAGCCTGGCTCCCAATCAAGGGTCCACACATGAGGGTCCGCGGCTTCATTTTTGGTGATGGCCATGCTTGGGGAGGCTTCCAACAGAAAGACTACCCTCACCAAGGTTATCTATCTCTCTCCCCACAGGCTCGGTCCTGCTCATCCGCCATGTTGCTACAGGCGGTGGCTGCGGGATTGATGGCTTGGGGAGGGTTTGGTTTGGAAAACTGGGAGCTTCGAAGGGTGGGCTTGGGGTTGCTGCGTGTAAGAGGTTCTGGCGGGTAGCAGCTATACTTGCCAGCAGCGCGACTTAATGACGCGGCTTGAGCCAGCTGGGCGTGACGGGTGTCAGCGAAGACGAAATCTGGTACCAGCCTGGAAGCCTCTCAGCCCAAAAGCATCACAGGCAAGTGGTCTAGGCAAGGACAGAGTCTACAGATTGCATTGTCCGGAGATTGCATGCCTAATCCACTCAGCCACTCAACACGATGCAGCACTTGGGCCTCAGAGGAGCCGGTCAAGACCTCCGTAAACAGGAAGTTGCTCTTTGTCAGAAATGTATAGGGCGCCACAAGTGATCCCTTCTGGCATATTCTGTGCTCAACAAGTTGGGAACAATGGCAAGTTAGCCCGCCTCATCGATTTTGCTGGCCCGGCTTGACCGAAGGCTGCCTGCATGACACCGCGCACCCTCCGCAGTCTGCATGTAAAGTGCTACTGGCGCGATACCTTGTGCCAATCAACTATGGAAGACTTGCGCAGATCCATGGCCCGATAAACGAAGTAGAAAGGTCTGTAGGAATGCGAAAGTGGTAAAGCCACTCACTCAGTCCACAATCGATCTCTAAGTTCTCAACACGGGGCCGTTCCCGAAAGTATTCAGATTCCGCGCTGGCCTCCCAGAGGAGGCAGAGCAGGAGCGGGGTAGCCGCCGCCTGCATCCAAACTGGCAATGCACCAACGCAATCCTTCATGCCGAGTCTGACGTTCGTTGAGCAACGTGAGATCTTCGCTGTCTCCAGGTTCTGCCGAACAAGTGCCCAGAAAGCTCAAAGCCGAACCTGAGCCGCAACAGAAGCCAACATCCCCCCCACTCAAGTTTCCTCGAAATTGATTCGCTCATTGGAAACTTGCTCAACGGAACGCGCAGGGTCGGCATGGGGGGGGCTTGTCTGGGGTCCTGCGGGGGCACGTGGCGGCAGTGGCGGACGAACTCTGGCGGCTCCGGTGGGCGCAGTTCCTGGACGGCATCATGGGATGTCAGGTGAGGTAAGATTCGCTCCTGCCATAATGCAAGATCGGAAACAATGGGGCGAGATGCACAAGGGACCAGGGATCCCAAGCCGGCCTCCTCAAACCATGTCCTGCTTCTAGGCGCCCAAAACAGCGTCTGGACATAATTTTAAAGGGCACCCCTTTGCCCAGGGCCCAATTGACAGAGCCCCCCCGAGGGCGCAGCCTGGGCGGACTACGCGGGGGCTCGCGTCCGGGGAGGCGGCGCCTGGCAGCTGAGGAAGGCAGGTGGAAGAGTCCATATACAGGCAATAATCTATTTCTTCTGGGATCAGACTTGTCCAGATAGCTCTGCGCCATACTTTTCTCTATATGCTATCTTGGTTTCAAGAATCCAATTGGCCCCTAGACCTTGAAAACAACTTTATATCCCTCGATGCCTGCGCAAGCCCCCAGAGCAAAACGAGGTTTATATGTTAGTCTTACGACAAGCCGGCCCCCCCCCTCCCCCACATTTGCAAACACCTCGTATCACTGGCTTCGAAAGGATTCATGTCTGTTGCGGCAATTTCGCTTGATGTCATGATGTTCTCCAAAGGAAGCTTGCACTTCTAAACAGGTGTTTTTTTCCAACTATGCTTGCATAACGACTTTGCAAAGGACATACGCACTTTTTGAAGAAACTCGCACGGCCACAAAAAGCGGGGGGCGGGGGCCTTGGGGGGGTGGCGCCTGGCTTTCACAAGAGGGTTGGGCATTTCAAGGAATCAGTGGTGGTATGATGTTCTTCACAGGAGGGCTCACCTTTCCTCAAAGCAATCTCTCTTGAGGGCTTTAAGGCAAGATCACACGGCTTCACAAAAACCCAGAAGGATTGGGTTGGGTCGCAGCTCCGCACCCCCCCGCCGCCCATTTGCAAACAGTTTGGAAAGGGTGTTGAAGCCATTCCATTTGATGGCCTTCGTTGTTTTGAACATTGATGTTCCGTTTCATTTTTTGAGTATTTTTGTTGAGCTTACGTGGCTTGTCTGGGATTCTCCGGTGGGTGTTTTGTGTAAGCATCTATTCCCGAAAACCCCCTCTCTGGGGGTGGCAGATGGACCTCTCATCTTTCATCGCCTGCAGCTGTGGGGTGAGACATCGAGCCCTCATCTTTCACCAGGGGTGGGGTGAGAGCTGGACCCCCATCTTTCACCAGCGGTTGGTGGAAGCTGGACCCCCTTCACCAGGGGTTGGGTGATAGATGGACCTGTCATATTTCACCACCCGCAGTTGTGGGGGGGAAACATAGACGACCCCTCATGTTTCAGTGCCCCCAGCTGTGGGACATGTGTTGGAAGCTCAAGGTTCAAGGGAAGCCACGAGGACTTCGCGCATAGATGCAAGATCGGAAACAATGGGGCGAGATGCATCCGTAACACAAGGGACAAGGGATCCCAAACTGGCATGGCTCCTCAAACCATATCGTGTTTCTGGGGGCTTTTTCATTTCAAGGGCACGGAACCCCAGAAACCCGAGGACGCGGCCCGGGCGGGCCACGCGCGGGCTCGCGTCGGGCGAAGCTGCGCCTGGCAACTGAGAAAGTGGAACAAACCATGCAAGATTAGATAGAATTACTCGATTCAGGAACACCTATATATAGATATATATATATATATATATATGATTTTGCAAAAGAAGGGCTCGAAGAAGTGCACGTTTGAGTGCAACCCCAAACCTTCACACATGCGACCCTGTAGAGGTCAGCGAAAATAAAGCCTACATGATGACTGATTGCATGCACACTGCTACCTCAATGTTACTGGCAGGGGGCGGGAGCAGGTAACAAGAAGAGCCGATCGGCCTGGCTGTATTTGCTCCGCCGGCGACTCTGCACCTGGCGACCCTGCGCCTGACGACTCGAGCATCAAGCTGGTAAAGAGTTCGCATGGGATTTGTGGCTATAGGTTGCGAGCCTGGGATCTTCAAAACTCTCGATGGATGGGCATTCGGTAGAAACAAAACAATCAGAGCACATAGAAGGCCCAAAAAATGCTGTCAAAGGAAGCCTGCGAGCAGAAGCACCTTTTCCTCCTGCGGTTCAGGCCTGTGCCAGGCGGACTGGCAGAAGGTGATCTCCCACCTGTCTTTGCACCCACTGAAAGCTCTTCGGGTTGCGAGATGTTGCGAGCTAGAGCTAGGGACTAGCAGGGCTTCGACAACCTTCACTGCATGCAGGTTACCTCTTTGCAAAAGCCATGTAAAGCCCAGCCTCTGGAGTCTGGCTTGTTGCCCTCGCTTTGTGGCGCGGAGGTGGGAGGCGTCTTACCTGTGCACAGCGATTTGTGAATTCTGGGTACCCATTGCTGCGCGGTGACACTTTTGGGGAGAGGATGCTCTCTGCTGGAACGTAAAGGCTCGTAAAGGCCAACCACTACTGGAACAAGCCTACCACTGCGTATGAGGGCGGCAAAAAAAATAGCTGCCAGGTGTTATGGCATGGAACAAACGTCGATGGCTAGAGTGATCTGCGTGATGCCTCTTCCAGAGGACCTATGAGTCCTATGACTATTCATTATGCTGGCTGTTAGATTCAGCCGGTGCAGATTTGGATGAAGATCTCAGCTCCGACATTCTGGCGTAAACCCACGTGCCAAGTGATCGCAAGGCTCGGCACCTCCCGTGCTCGCGGCGTCCAGGGGCTCGCCATCCACCAGGGCCAGTGAGGTCAGCGGCCGCAGTGCCTCAAGCAGCCGCTGACCTTGCCGGACCGCTAGTTTGCCTAATCCTCACTGCCACTGCTATATAGCAATGGGTTCTGCAACATGTCTCGCTGTCTCGTCTGGATGTTCGCAGCCTGACAACTGCTGCTTTCGCAACGACGGAAGCTGCATGTACCCGCACGCCAGCATCATGGTAACCGACCACACGCAGAGCCCCTTCAAGTGCTGGGCGTGCCGCAGGCGAGTCAAAAGCCTCGTTCCTTGGTTGAAGAGAATCTACGTGCTTTTTTCGATTACCAGTAGTCATAGCGTGTACCACATGTATTGATCATGGAATGTTATAACAAACTTGTACACGTTCGCGCGCAGCACGTAGCTTTCAGGTTCTTGGAGAAGAAGAGGAAGTTGAGGAGGGGATGCGCGAAACTATATAAAATGTTTGTTCGTTTGGTGGTTGTTGGGTCGTGCTCAGGCAGAACATGCTCCAAGGGCGCTGCTCGATGCTTCACCGATGCTGCTCTCATCATGCTGTCTAGTTATCGCTCTGCAACATTGCTCCAAATCAAAACGACTATGCCGGAACAGTATTGCCCCAACTGCCATGCTACATCATACTACCCTGCCCCAGATCAAAATGAACATGCTACATACCACTGAACTCATCGTTGATTCAATTCCTCCATAGACGGATAGCAAGTACTTCGATAGTAATTCCCTGTCAGTCGTGCGCTACCCCCCAGCTATGCGTTGAACGGGTGCATCGCTGTGTCACCAGCTGCAGCTTCCGTCAAAATCGGGGTGCAGTTTGACCGTGAGGTGTGCAAATACGGACACGCGTGGATCCCACATAGCCTCCTTCCACCCCATGGTTACTCAGGTCTTTCACCCAACTTGCGATCACGCATGCAAACTAGATCCTCACCGCATCCGAATGCAAGCATGCAGCCCCTGCAAATTCATTCACCATCCATGACATGGCTAATCTTTGAAGACATCGACAACTAGATGCAACAAGCTGTCCATGCTGCAAGTCTAAATTCTGCCGAAGAGCTCGGCGACGTCCAGCGAGCGCAGCTGGGGCAACGCAACCAATGTGTTGAGGATGTCCTGCTTACAGCTGGGTGGCTGAGCATGACATCCATAATTCAACGTGCCTGCTTGCTTCTGCACTCAACTTGCTGAGTGTTCCTGGCCTATCCAGGCTTGCCCGTATTTGGCATCATTCGCCTCGGCCTCTGGCCGAAAGGATCTGGATCTGGTCTCCTTCCTTTTCGCAAACCTTCCCCCCCAAATAATTTTGGCACCCCCTCTCTGTGGGATGTGCCCGAACCGCTTGGAGGAGCCATAATCCGATGGGGTCCACCCTGCAGGCCACTCCCCCCCAAATAACCATCTGAGGACTGCGGCGCTGTCCGACGCTGCACAACGCCTCACAAGCAAAAACATGCCACTCCTTCTTCGTTTCTTTTCCTGCGGCTGGCGTCGCTTCCCGTGCTCGTGCTGTGCTTACAGCCTATGGGACCCTTCCTGAAACCGCCCTTAGAAGCCCCCCTCCAATCCCCTTGCTTCTGGGAATCTTGCCCCCCGCGTTAGGCCGGCCGAGGCGGTTGCTTGCGAAGCGTTTACAAGCAAGTTGATCTACCAATGCACTCGATGACCTGGGGGCGCGAAACCATCTTTTCAATGTACTGTGGAGCTGCGACTATTTAAAGACTTGCGATAAGTCCAAGACTAGCCACTGTAGCAAATCTGCACTCCAGCAGCCAACCTACGGTACGAGTAGCCGCGTCTTGATTCATCATAGCATGAGTACATTGAGTCTGCCCACCCTCAAAGCAGACCAAGCAGAAGCAAGAGCACTGTCCCGTCCTGCAACTTGTCTGAGGAAAGCTGGTTTCCCAACAATGAAAGCTCCTGAGGTGACCGCAACGCCCACCAAATTGCATGACAGGACGTGCGGCATGTACTTTTTGTTCAAGTCCCTTCGTGTAACCCATGGCAGTACTCTTAGAAGCCTGGACCATGCTCACATTGCTCCCATGGCCTCTAAGCGGCAGCACCCGGACTCCATGCCTGAAGGCATTTGCAAGGAAACTCAAAACCACAAGACAAAAGTTAGATTCTGCCAGTATTGACAGGTTCTACGCCAACAGGATCCCACGAAAACAGTGTCGAGCGAAATTTATGCGTCTGCGGGCCCAATCGTCGATTACAATTCCGCAGTCTCAGCTCTAACTGTGCAGTCTGATGCGTTTCTTCCCATCCAGGCGGCCTGAGATGTTTCGCACGCGGTTGTGTGCGATGAAGGCCTGACCGCAACTTGACAAAGCTCCCCGCAGGCCATCACTATGATTGCACCCACGCCTCAAACAGAGGCTACACTGCGAGTGCCCATGAACCGGGGGAAGACTATACGCTGAATCCCAAAGCGCAGAGACAAACGCCTGGAGAGATTGCTACGAGAAAGGCGTGGAGCCTTGGTCAGCTGCTCGCACTCGTACAAGGGGCTCAGGTCCTTCAGGCGAGCATGTTGAAGGCCGGCCAGGGCGCCACAGCTGTGGTGGGAGAACCGCACTCCCGCCAAAACCCTAAACCCAAGACATCTCGTGACACATCTCGAAGCTTAAAAGGGCCTTCGAGGAGATCGCTCCACAAGAGTAACTAAAGGTCTCCTCGACTTGGTTGAAGTTGAGATTCACCTGAGGAACCATGCGCCAGCTGAGCTATTGAAATTCATTGAACCTCCCTATCATAGCGCGCAAACTTTCAAGTTTCTACTCGTGGCTTTTGGGTTCAAGCAACCCCACCGAAGAAGATTCACTTGCTCCGGCTCTTCCATGGTACCCCCCCCCCCCCCCCCGCACCTCGCGGAGCGCCACCAGTGGCCGCAGGGGATCGAGGTCCCGGAGCTCATTGTGAGACAAGGACAGGACCTGACTCTGACAATTATATGGGTTAAACATTCCAGGGCTTTGGGCTTCGGTAGACGTGTTGACCTCTTGCTTACGCCTCCCGACTGGGAACTGACTACGAGTACCTGTTGTCGGCTAGAACATGCGCAGCTACTGACGGCTACCCTGTGTTGTTGACAATGGTTTTTTGACCCCAAACTACATCTTGTTACGCTCTATGTTGTCTGGGAAGGCCGAACACTAACTTTGTGCTTGGCAACTTCGGGCAAGATCGCGAAGGCACCCCCCCCCCCCCACCCCCCGAAACGCGGGCCTCCAGGCCCGACAAGCGCACAAAGTCGACGGTGCCTGGAACCCGACAGCATTGGGAATGAAAGGGTCGAGAAAAGAAGTGCAAAACCAAGAGGTTCTGCACGTCGCGGTTACATCCGATGAAGCTTCTGGCTTGTCTCTGTTCTGGCTCACCTGGCATACATCCTACTCCGCAAAAAAAAACGCCCATACATGATGACCCCGACGTGCGACAATGCCAAACGTGATATGACAGCTCCAAACGCTAAATTCCCTGAACCCTCAGCACAAACTGAAACTCTGTAGTCCATTCAAGAGCCCCCTAACCCTCATGGAGCGCGCCCCGACTCCTTTACAGCCCCTTGGCCTGGGAGGTCGAGGGATCGGAGCCGCTGGTATCGGAAGACAAGGTGCCGAACATCTTCGACCTACAGGCTTGGGGGCCTTGGGGATGACAAAGGCCCCTGGAGCTACGCTAAGTCAAGCGAGAAAAACGGAGGACTGATTCCTGGCATCCGAGTTCGGGGCTGCGTCTTCACCTGGTTCAGAAACCGGACTCTGGCACGGGACTGTGGGGCAATGACCGGCAACCCGACAGCTTTCCCAAGCCCTGCAAAAAAACTCCATTCAGCACCACTGCAATTGATCTCAGAAAAACGTAAGGCTGGATGCCCCGAAGCCCTCCGAATCTCCAGCCCGGACATCGGGGTTCTGGAGTCCAGTGGGAGCGAGGGACTCGTGTTCAAGAGAACGAGAGACGGTATGACACCAAATCGGCTGAAGGCTTAAGTTTGTCTTTTGACGGTTGGGCCCGACATGGTCTACGCCTGAAGCCACCAGGACCGCGGGCTCGGTCAGAATGGAGGGGCCTGCAGAAATCGGGTGAAGGGTGTCAAGGGGGGGTCAGGGCTGTTTTTCTAGGGATGTTTAGGATGATTTCAATTGCTTCGCCCTCCAAGCGACGCTGCAGGACAGACAAAGCCTTCTCAACTTAGTGCCTCGACCACGCTGAACCACCGTGAATCCGAGTTTTCTATGCCCTTAGTCCCAGAAGTTCCAAACTCCAAGCCCCAATGAACCTTTTCTTTCAACATCGCAAAAAACGCCTTTTCTCCACATAGCAAACCTTGTATTGAGCACACGAACCCTGCCTTTCAACTCTAAGCCTGAGGGCCTACACCAAAATCTGCAGCACTCTCCCCCAAAGGCCACTTAAACTCGCCACCGGGCCTCCAGTTGCCGGACGACTCGGGGCCATCTCCGCCTCAGAGGGGATGCCACGCCCGGCGACAAGGTCCTCGCACTTCTGAAACTTTCAAGGGCTTCTCGAGCTTTAGCAGTGCGGATTTCGGATTTTAAGGGCCAGTGTCCTTGGACCTCAGAAACCCAAGCTTTGAGCTCGGCAACGGATCCCCTCGGAACCCTCACCTCGATCGCGGCGAGGCCCTCAGCCAGCTCATCCCGGATCTGCACAGGTTTGGATATCTTCTTGAGAAGAATTGAGAAGACATGTTCTACGTTTGCTAGTGTTAAAGCTTTCTGAAATTCAGGAGACCTATTTCACAAGCCGAGATTCACATGCTGGGACCCCATTGTTGTTTAAGCTGTCGAATGTCAAGCATGGTCTGCGCAAAGGAGGAGCGAGGTTCTTCGAGGGATCACAAGCTCTAGGCTCAGGCTCTATAGGACTTGTGGGCACATTCTAGCATCTTTCAGCAGCTGCAGCGAGCTCTATTCCACATCCAGTCCAACGCACTCGGGTGCACTTCAGCTGGAGAGAGCCCGGCCCGGGCCTGGCCCTCCTGCACTTCCTGGATCTCGTGGCTCTCGTGGACCTCATCCTCGCGGCCTGGCCCTTCATCCTCGGAATCAGCCACAAGGCCTCGCTTTGAGCTGCAGAGACACACACACACACACACTCACACTGATACGCTCATAGCGCAGTCGTATGCAACACTGTATGCACTAGTGCATCAAGGGCGGGGGTGAATAAAATGGCAACCGCGAACAACTGGGCCCTCCAGCCTTGAAGGACTTCTTCTTGCAGCTTCCTCAAATCCTGACTTCTGCAGGAGTGGGCCAGGAAAGCAATTCAGCGCGGAGCGCCTTCTCCGAGACCATGCATGGGTAAAACTGTAAAACCGTGGGGAAGGCCGAAGTCCGGAGTGTGGAAATTGAGGCACCCACCTCCTCGGCGGCGATGCCCGGCAGGCAGGACGGCATTGCAACGAGGGATGCAAAGTCTGCGTCTTGGGGTTGCTTAGGGCGTCTTCTCCTTGCGCCTGGTGCGTGATAGGAGGAAAGTCTAAGTCTAAAGTTCGGAGTTTGTTAGGTGAAGCTGCTTTCAAGTGCGACGTAAGCAGTCGAAACAGCACACTGTGCCGACTGGGGTGAGTGGTGGGATCTGGTAGTTCTCAGACGTTGCTACTTTGCAACAGCAATGGTTCCCAGATTCTGCATACGGTCTTTCTAAAGATGCATTCCTCAGTTCTTGCGCTTGCGCAGGTTTGTTGTTGCGGCTGCTGTTCCATGACAAGCTACCTTCATGTCGTGACTGCCTTGCTCGGATGCGTGAAAGTCTCCCAATGCGAATGTACGTGGCTCACCTGCAGGAAAGCTCCCGAGTGCCCGAATGTGCCCGACCTAGACCCGAAGCTCCTATTTTTCTTTGAGGGTTGATTTAGGATTTACTATATAGATCTCAGTGTATCCTAGGAGAAAAATAGGGTACCCTTCCTGCGCAAGTAAATGGGTCGATGAGGCTTCCGATAAGGGGAACCCGAAGGAACAAGGGCTCGGCGTGGGTGCTAATTTCTCAGCTTCAGGGTTTAACATTTTAGGTGCGGGGGGTTCAGGGTTTTAGGGGTCGAAGGTTCAGGCTCTGGGGTTTAGGATCTTGGTTGAAGGGACAGTGCTTAAGATTTAAGGTTCACGAAATGTGTGCTTCATTGCCCTTGGTTTGCTTGAATATGTTTTTTTCCGAGCCATTCCAAACCCGCACCGGGCGTTCAGGATCTTCAGACAATGGCACGGGTAGCCCGACAGTGAATCTAAAGCAAAGATACAGCGCAGCAGGAAGCCCTGCATGTCAGACAAAGAAAAGCCACAACAACTGCAAGTGTGAAGAGCTTCAGAGTCTTGGGTTTGTAGGGTCAATTAAATACTTAACTTAGGACGGTTGCAAGGCTTCCCTACAATCACACCCTGAACCCAAAACCCTGCAGGGTTGTCTTGAGGCTTCATGAGCTCAACAGAAGTTTACTTGAAGCAGGTCTTCGTGAAGTACCAAAACGACATGCATTCTGACATGTCCAAGGGCATACTGTTGACGAGAACCTTCCCAGCTACTCAGGCCTCTGCAATATGCTCTGGTAGGACTAGGATCCATGTTCAAGGCGCAACATGTTGGGGGCAAGTGGGCCGTGCGAAGAGCTGTACGAGGATTTAGAATGTAGAGTGCTAGCCAGGGCTGCCCGAGGAGCGAAGATTTGGACAATTGCCCAGCTGAACATATGGTGCGGGACATGATATCTTCAGCGTTTACTTGAATGTGGCGGTGTTGAAGAATGCTTAACCGTGTATGAATAAGTTGGGGAGTTGTTCAAGCAAGGATAATACGGGACCGGGGTGGATGCGGGGACATTGCTTTTCAGGCACAGACGCCAACATGCTGGACCCCACACATTGAAATAACTAGGACCTGGATGCGCTGGAGTCAAAAAGTTGAAAGTACTTACGAAACAAAGTGACGCTCTCAGGAGTCCTGCTCCGGGCCACTTCCCTAAGCAAAACAGAAAAGGATGTTACATAAAACGCTGCTACTCTCTCCAGAATGCTTTTCCACGAAGGCTGCTCTCTCAGGAATCCTGTTGCCGGCTTCTTCCCTTAATCAAGCTAACATGCAATATCGGTACAAGCCTGTTCCGGGCCTCCTCCCCTAAGTACATCTAAAAAGAAATTTCCTGCCAAAGAGGTCTCCCTCCTCCCCGTCTTCTGCGCTGGCGGCTTGGGAAGACTGCTTCCCGGCCCCTTATCCTAAATTGGCCCCAACTTCCAAAGCAAATGAGCCAAGGGGATTGTCTGGTCTTCTCGGGCAAAAAATACCACGCGTTTCTTTTCATGGTGGCAGGCTTCCGGAACTGAAGTGCAAACAAGCATGTGTTGATTTTGAGAGTTTGCTTGGAAGTCTAAAGACCATAAGGCTTTGCACCTTTTCACGCCCGCAATCCTTGAAGCAAAACCGCATGTTTTCCAAGTGTTTGTACATCTTCAAGCCCGGAGACCTTAAAACCCCAAAACCGTATATAAACACAGCTCGAGAACCCCAAAAAGTATCATACACCCCTCAGCGCCAATCCTGTGGACTTGTTTGACGTTTTGGATGTTCCTTGTGCTTAGATCTGTAAACCACGAGTTCTGCTAAACTGTCAAATGTTGTCAGATCGTTACCGTCTCGTAAGAAATACCAGATAAATATCTCAAGAACCCCGTGCCACTCCAGCATTGCACCATCAGGCGCGGGGCGATGCCAGGTGTCGCTTCAGTTCTGCGATCTCGTCTTGCTGCGCCTCGAAGGTTTTTTGGAGCAATCATTGAGGGCTTATAGAGTTGATGGTTGAGGGTTTACGGTTGAGGATTTACGGTTTAAAGGTTTGGGAGCCTAGGGATGGAGGATTCGAAGGGATGTGTCGGTTTATGGCTTTCGGAATTCAGGCGTGCTACTCCAAAGAGGATAAAAGGTTACGTAAAGAACTTTCCATGGACTCTAGAGCCCTAAGCCCGACCATAAATCCTCTTCAGTGAAGTCTATTTCATGTTCTGGAACCGAGCCGAGGACCCTAGATCCCAGCGTGACTTGATTTATGAACGGGTAATCAAAGCGACGTGACCCTTAAGATTAAGGCCCCCTGGGTCTCAGGACCTTCTCGGGTCTGCCAGGGATTTTGGGTTGGAGCAGTCGAACATGATTTGCCTCCCCGCGCGCTGCCGCTGTTGACCCCACACCCTGAAGCCCAACTCCTCAGACCCTACGCCAAACCCTGGACCCTATGAACCCTGCATCCTTGTTCCTGCCCTTGGTGAGGGTTTGTCAGATGTCACCCGCTGCCCAATCTCCAAATGATCCGACCGGCAGATGATCTGCAGTCGGCCAGTCGCCCACCCCGACATGATTTCTGGAGAGCCCACCAGGCTCCGGTGAGGAATAACGCTTTGGGAGAACGGCGACGACTGGGCACAAATATCACGAATTTGTAAGACTGTCCGTCTTACTGTTGAGTGACCGCTATAATATAGTCTTGTAGCTTTGTGATAGTACTATTCGGCAAGTTAATTTTGCACCAGCGATTTCTACTTCGCACCAGCATTGTCTATTTGTAGAACGAACGCAACACTTCACACACCGGGCTTTCTGACAACTCCTCCTGGGCTCCTAGTCATTTGTGAACATTGAACTACAGATGTTATGAGTGCAATAAAGTCGTCGAAAGCACACTAGTTTCATAAGTGCAAAGCCTGAGGCAGGTGCAACTCATCTTATTCGTGAGAGAAGGGTGATGATAATGGCAGGTTATCCCCGGGCGCTCGCTTACGACGGCGGTTGCGCGGTAATTGCACGCAGTCAACCCCGAAAATGAACTCTTACAAACTGCCTGGATGTGCTGGCGAAGCACTGCGATGTATGCCTGGAACATGGGGAGAAGGGACCACAGGGCTTTTCTGCACTTGGTGATCAGGCAGAACTTAAGAGACTTGCCGTTCAGGCTGTTAGGTGGCCAAATACACGACTGTCAAGGCCCGCGATACGGGAATTTCAGAAGTGGGTTAGAGTGGGACTACCACAAGACTCCGATTGCCAGCGCCATGGCTTTAACTTGTTGTTCGGCTGAGGGCTCGTTTAAGAACACAAGAAAACTTTTCGCTTCGGCCTCCGGCCGAGAGGCGTTGGGAACAAACAACAAGGGCAGGCGTCGCCCCAACCCCGAGAGACCTGCCAGATTTCATTGAAGGATGCCGCGGCGGGCGGTGGGGGCTACCAGGCCATATAACATGAAAGGTTGCGCCTTGAGGCGTTTGCCCCCCAGAAGCCCGAGGACCCGGCCAGGACCCCCAAGAAAATTTCGATGACGCACTCAGCGCGCTCGCAAGCACAATCTTGACAGGCAGCGCAACACACGCTCAGCTGGTAGGCTAACTTGAGGAGTAGTGTTTGCTTACGCTCAGCTTACGCTGCTGGACTTGGGGCCTTGGGAGGCCAATTTGAAGGGCACTGTTTTGCTTACGCTGATGGACTTTGGGGGCTTGGGGAAGGCACTGATGGACTTGGGCCTTTGGAAGGCCAAATTGCGGCTCCTAGGACCCAAGTCCATCAGGGTAAGCAAGCAGCACCTTTGAGGTTTGCTTCGACCCTTCCAGGGCCCCAAGTCCATCAGCGTAAAGCAAAGAGCACCCCTCAGGTTGACCTCCCAACACCCCAAATCCCTCAGCGAAAGCAAAAAGCACGCTCCACGTCTGGCACCCTTCACAGCTGGCCTCCCAAAGCCCCAAGTCCATCGTGAATTCTGCCTGGGGCTCCGGCGACCAGCGGGCACGGAGGTTCTTCGGCACGCTGCGCGGAGTATTCGAACTCCAGCGCCAGCGGCCTTTCCTAAGAAAGGCTGCATTTGAAGCTATTACACACGGGAAAGGAAACGGTACAGGATCGGCGGCGTCTGACCTCGTTCGTGCAGAACTGCACATCAGATTGGAGCCAGATCATGGATATCCTATCCCGAAGGTTGCCTTATGTTGCCTCAATTGGCTTGCAACGTTGCGCTTACTTAGCTTGTTTTGAGCTGGACCTGCTTACGTCTCGTGGGATTCCGTGATGCGTTTTGCACCTGACAAGGGGCTGAGCTGCACTCCAACGTGCATGTCGAATCTCAACCTTCAGACCTGGAATCTACATCTTTCTACGTTCAACTTAGCCGATTGAAGACTGCGCTGAAACAACTCGGGGGCGGGGGGAATTTTTACCCAAAGGAGTAGTCGCCCAACCAGAGTTTACCTCATGTATCCCCCTTCAAATCATATTATCCTCCTGAACCTCCCCATCGTCGGAATCAGAAGCTGGGCTTCTTGCACGACCGCGCCACGCCGCCTGCAAGCTTGGGTTGGATCACGCGTGGGAGCTTTGGGTGAGGGGTACTTAGCTTGGACTCAACTCGAAGGCAGAACGCACACAG